TTTTGAATGAACTATTAGGCATTTTAGAAGTAATATGACCTCATTTACGCAACTTGGTTAGGTTATCAGGGCGACATAGTAGGACGCACCTTGTTCAAACTCCTTTGCATATCATTTATCATAATTCCCAGCGTCTGGCCATTGACTTAATACATTCGCTGACATCGTCACTGGGTATTGCCATTCTTAACGCCAAGCCAAAACTCGTGAAAGAGACAAGTGAAGTTAATCCTTTGACTAACCTTCTGCCAAACGGTCATGCTATCACTTTCTACCCCATAATCTCACTCCCGCCCGATCACAACTGCTAACTTGCTTATATTCTACTCCTCAAGAGGTGTGCCTTTTTTGGAAAGTTTAGTATGGCGTCATCACACCTTCCCCTTTATTTGCTTATCCAACTCGGACCCCTTATCCGGATCTCCCTCAGATCCGTTTCTTATCTTTATGGTTGACTGATTTCACCCGGTTCTAGCCCCAAAATACGTGTAATTCCAGGTGCTATTTATCAAGCCTTTAGGGGCACGTAGACTGTAAGACCAGTTCTATACATCCAAAGTAGACAGTGACCAAATTAAAGGCCACAACATTTTTGTCTACATATCTAGGTAGACTGTTTTGTTTATTTATGTGGTCTTGTTAAGTTGAAATGTTGTAACTCTGTATCAAAGATGGCGCCTCTTATTGACAATGCCGAAATGGTAATGTACCAAGTAAATGATCCGATATTGAAAATCATGAATACCATATGAGGCGTATTCACACTATTTCGTTTAACGTGATGAATGACTGGTAGTTGAATTTTTCGGCAATTATATGAATAGAGCTGCGTTTTTATTGAATTTTACATATTTTCGTATTTAAGTAGAGTTTTGAGACTACCAGTAAATCAGTAATATGAAATGTATTCACCCTATTTCGTTTAAAGTGATTAAGGACTGGTAATAGATTTTTCCTACAATAATATGAGTAAAGCTGACATTTCCATTGAATTTCACATAGCCTTGCCTTCCCAAAAGGTGTTATCATCCAGGGTAGATCACAGTTTTAAGCTCATCTAAAGCTTATCAACACCCCCAACGAGCGAGTAATCTTGGCATGTTGCCCACTACACTACTACACGCCGCACTGTCATGGTTTGACTCCCGTTGGTGCGAATGATATTATCTTGGCAAGATCCAAACTGCAGTCCACCCTGGGTGAGATGACCTTTTGGGAAAGTAAGGCTATGTGAAATACAATGGAAACACCATGAATATTATGTCATATGACGCAGGATTAGGTATGTCCCACATGGTCTCTCTGTTGCCCCGACCAATTTGCGCAAACTAGGTCAAACCAACACTATACAGCTAAGGGAGACTTCTGCCAAACAAAGGGCCGCTCCATCTTGATCTTAATATTTCCTATCTTAAGCTATGATGTAAAGTTTCTGAAGTCGACAAAACACTGTATTTTCGACCACTATTTCTTAAAGAAAGATTTATTTATCATAGGTAGCATAAGTTAATCTATGGAGGGATAGTTGAGTTTTACCAGAATGAGATGAATAGCCCTTAAGATCCCATTAAATTTCACTTAGACATGTCTCACAAAGGGTTATCTCATTTATGATGTATTGCAGTTATGACCTCGCCTATATTTCAACTTCCCCAACTGTATTCGGTACAGGGTCTTGAGTGTTGTGAGGATGTTACCATTCCACTCTACTACATGGCCACGGGTTCCAATAAGTCAAAGGGCAGATACGACATTCAGGGTTTTGCCAGGTCCTTCCCAACTTAAGTGTACAGTGGAATTGATATCCATTACAATGGATAATGTTACTTATTTCGATATAAGTAGTTTTCGAGGCAATCAGTAAATATTAGATATGAAGACCAAGATGGTCGCAGCCTCCTTTAGCTTTATGGTATTGGTTTGACCTCGTTTTCACAACTTGCTCAGAGCATCTGGGAGACCATGTAGAGTGTACCTAGTCATGAGTATTTGTGATTTCCAACATCGGACCATTGATTTAGTGCAT